TTAACATGTAAGTCTAATAGTTAATCAAGTGAAAAGGGCAGGTGGCCCACTACACATGGACTCGGTATCTGGAGGAAATCACCTGATCCCTGGACTTCCTTGAATGCTCATGAAACATGAGTAATCAGAGGTCTTAATTGTACCCTCTTAAGCCCCTCATTTGCATACAAAATGTCATCAACAGGAGGAGATGCCAGTCCAGCGGATACCTCATCCCCGCATTCTCTTTCTGTGATGAAGGAAAATGAGACACTTCTTGACTCATGAATCGGGCCATGTTCAGACAGTGATGAAGTGGAAGCCGTGTTTCGCCCAAGTTACAGCTCCCCACAGTCATGGCCAAGGGGCCCCCGGTCAGAGATTCAGGAACGTGGTGCACCGTTCCCCGCTTCCCACACCACCTAAAAGTTGGTCCTGTTCTATCTGCACTGCAGGCACACCTGTGCAGTCTCGGGGCGCGACCCAGGCCGAGTTCTCACCGAGATGTTCAGTACGTCCGAGGCTGGACCGACCTGGGTCCCAGGTGAGCCTCAGCCTTCTCCCGGGGCTTTAGAAAGAAGGCAGGGAGCAGACAAGTGCCACAGTGGGGGCCAGCCAGCCCCCAGGACCACGCCCTAGGGACGCCTCCAGGACAGGGCGGGTCTTTCCCACCCAGGCCTGCAGCCGGATGGGAGCCAGAGCCGGACAGGCCCCGGGAGCCAAGAGGGCGTCAGGACAGCCGTTTGCTAGTCTCCGACTTTGCTTCACCCTTCAGGTTTGCAATTAACCTCCGGCTCAGCGGGCGTGGTCTCTGCTGAGAGACATCGGCATGAAGCATCCGGAGTGACGTCGCGCTGTCATCTCTGCAGTATTACAGGAATCACAGCCATCGTTCAGTCATGGCTGTGGAGCGGGAAGCTTTATAAAGCGAGCAAGCTCCTCCTCTGTCCATCTCAGTGTGCTGCCAGCCCGTCAGCCATGAGGATCTACCACCTGGCCTTGGCATTGCTGCTCTTGTTTTTGGTGCCTGTTCCAGGTAAGATGGGCTGGGAAAGGAGGGGGTTGAAAGGGTAGGGGGTATGCGGTGTGGAGTCAGCCCCCCTCCGTTCCTCGGGAACGTCTAGACCAGGAAGATGGATTGTACAGGAAATAGACACCCATCTCTTATTTTTTCCCGCCAAGGATCCAGGACCTGAGAGCAGGTGTCCTAGTCTTTTTTGATTCACTCTTAACAGACTAGGTGGGTCACACGAGCCACCTCTTCGCGGAGAGACTGTTATACGTGTTAATGAGACACGAAGGAAGTGATATAGAAAAATTTAATACCGACAGGAAAGGTCGACTTTATATGAGAACAGAAACACCCATTTCCGTTTTATTAGCTTAGTGGTTAGAAGTAGAGTCTTTGGGCCACTTGAGGGGCCCTGGGGACCACGGCTGCCCCGGCCCTTCCATGTGTCTGTCTGTTCACGAGGACACTCCTGGCAGCCACACGCTGTCGACTGGACGCCTGGTCCCACCTTCTACCTTACTCTTAGTTTTATTTTAAAAATGGGGCGGAGCGGGGTGGGTAAAGAAAAAAAAAGACAAGAAAGGCAGCAAGTCAGTCATCTGGGGAATTCCAAAGGCCTTGTACTCGCCCCCAAGCCTTCCTCCAACCTTACCCCGTGTTCCGTTTTCTCCTCGCAGGAAATGGGGGGATCATAAGCTCATTACAGAGGTCCTACTGCAAGATCAGGAGCGGCCGCTGCGCCGTGCTCAGCTGCCTCCCCAAGGAAGAGCAGATAGGCACCTGCTCCCTCCGCGGCCGGAAATGCTGCCGGAAAAAGAAATAAACAATCCACGAGCACGAGGAGAACGTTGTGAAGTGTGAAAACACCGCCTTGGAATGTATCAAAGCAATGTTACATTAAATATTTTTCCAAAAAAATTAGAAGTTTGTCTTTTAAATTGCGGTCGTTGCGGTAGTTATTGGCAAACAGGCAACTGAGAGAGAGTTAGTGACTCACCTTCACCTCAAGGAAAGGGTCGTCTCTAGAGGAATTCGGACGGGGACTTAAATCGAGTCTCGAGGGTTATTCCTCTCCTGTAAGTTTTATATCCACAGTGAAGTTGGACTTCTTTTTCTCCCCGAAATATTCTCTTTGCTTTCTTGTCACCCGTGACCTTGAGCTTGCCAGTCCCTCTATCCAGCATTACACCTCCCATCGAATCCACCTCTAAAATCAAACCTCACTGCGTCCCTCGGCTCATCCCAAGTCCCCTGAATACTTCATGCCTCAGAGAAATGAGGGCACCCAGCTCTTCCTCAAATACCCGCTTCGTTTTCCTCCCGCACATGCCTCTGCCAAGGCCGACCTCATGCCTGACAAATAATCTCCCTTCCAGCTTTGTCTCTAAACTTGAATCCAACTCAAATTCTGCCTCCGTGAAAACGCAGCTGATTTTCCCAACAAAGATGGTCTTTCCTCTGATTCACCACAGGTTGCTGTCTTGACTGCTCTGTCTATAAATCTTGCTTGATTTTTGCATTGTATACATCTGCGTATCTCCAATCCTCGTATTTGGCTGCACAATTTTTAAGGGCAAGGACCTTGTCAAAATCATTTCTGGCCTGCCCGGTAAAGTGCCTGGCATCGAAAAAGGATTACATGCCATGGGAAGCTCTCTCCTACCATACGCAACCAGAGAACCAGACAAAGGTATGAGATGTGTGTTTCATGAACAACAAGCAGTGCAAGAGTGTGATGGAGGCCTGTGAGGTCTCCAGCCTGCCACAGGAGGCAGATTCCAGGCTGAAGCACGGGGAGGAAGAGCCCAAACAGACCGGTAATCCTGGGTCCAAGAGCCTGAGGTCAGACGTCCAGCAGCATGGGACATCTCCGTATCAAGGGCAGAAACCAGAGCGGGGCATCTGGGTGGGGCCGGAGCTCCTGCATGCTCAGAGGGGCCTGTGGCTCTTGGCCTAAGTACCGATCTAAGCAGGCTGGGGGTAAAGCTTCACGCTGGGGGTAAAGCTTCACAAGGCCGGAGGAAAACAGAAACAGAAAGCAGGGGTCTGACGAGCAATTCCAGGAGCACGCACAAGGCTAGAAACACATGCCTTCCCACCAGGAGAGAGGAGACACCTCAAGGGAAAGTCCTCAGAAAGCGATGGCACTAGCCGTAGATTAAACTGGTCTGGGATTATTCTAACAAGTTTTAAAAAACATTCCTGAAAGAATCAAACCGATCTGCGAGCAGCTTAAACGTGAGCCAGAATGAAGTCTAGAACGTTTTTTTAAGGGAAACGACGAAGCTCATCCCCCAACAATATTAGCTTTATAATCAGCGGACTCCAGTGAGAACTACGAGGCTTGACAAAAAGCAGGAGAATATGGTCGACAACCAAGAGAAGAGTCGATCGGAACAAACAGACCCAGGGGCGACAAAGAGGACAGAGTAGCAGCCAGGGACCTGCGAGAGCTGTTATAAATCTTATGAATATGCCCAAGTTCGAGAAGAAAAACTCGTCGTGATGAGAAATGAAACCTATGCAGAGCCAAATGAAAGCTATGCGAACCAAATATCTGAATTTAAAAAAATGCGCTGGAGATGATGCATGGCATAGGCCATTACGGAAGAAAAAAACCAGTAAGCCTGAGCCCGTATTAATACAAACAGAGGAAGAAATGAAGCGAAAGGGGCGGAGGGGGAAGACGAATCAACAAGCTCAAGTTCTACCCCAAGAAACTGGAATCAGGGGAGGCAAACCCAAAGAAAAATGGAAGAAAAGAAAATGAACACAGTAGAAAATGAAAAAAAAAAAAAAAAAGGCTGATTATTTGAGAGGATTAATACAGTTGTAAGAGCTCTCACTAGGTTCATTAAAAGGGGCGGGGGGGTTGGAAATGACAAGAAGCCTGATTATTCACCTACCCTTCAGGCCAGCAGAAAAATGACAATCACTGTGCATCTTAAAGTGATGCAGACAAGGAGTCGCCACAAGGGGGCAGTAATGTGCACTCTTAGTCATGACCTCCTGCGAGATCAGGCCATGCTCTTTTTTTAAATTTAGGGTGTACTACCAGAAGCAACTAGAGATTCAGTGGAATCTCCCTCAAAATTCCAATGACCAATTGTATGTCTTCTTCGGCAAAATGTCTATTCGGGTCTTTTGCCCATTTATCAGGGTAATTTTTTGCTATCGAGTTGTATGAGTTCCTTATACATTTTGGATATCAACCCCTTATCAGACATACGGTTTGCAAATATTTTCTCCCATTCCACAGGCTGCCTGTTCATGTTATTGACTGTGTCCTTCGAGGTTCGTGGCCAACAATACACGAAAAGATGCTCGACATCACTGATCGCCAAGGAAATGCAAATCGAAACCACGCTATCACCTCACACCTGTTAGGATGGCTACTAACAAAAAGTAAAAGGTGATGTCAAGAGTGTGGGAAGAGGGAACGCTTGTGCATTTTTGGTGCGAATGTCAATCGGTACAGCCATTATGGAAAACAGTATGACGGTTCCTCAAAAAACTAAAAATAGAGCTATCCTAAGATCCAGCAATCCCACTTCTGAGCATTTTCCCAAAGGAAATGAAATCAGGGTCTCGAGGAGTTATCTGTGCTCACGTGCGCACTGCAACAGTATGCACGATAGCCATGGAGACAACTTACATGTTCACTGACAGATAAATGAATAAAGGAAATGTGGTGTGCACACACTCACGCACACATGTATATACGCACACACACATACATAAATGATGGAACATTATCCCGCCTTCGAAAAGGACATCCTGCCACGTGTGACATGATGAGCCCGGGGGACATTGTGCTACGTGAAATAAGCCAGACACAGAGAAGAAACAATAACCCTGTACGATGTCACTTCTATGTGGCATCGAGAAAAGTGGAATACGTGGAAGCGGAGTAGAACGTGGTTATCGGGGTCAGGAGGTGGAGGAAATGGCCGAACGTGTACAGCATGGTGACCAGATCGGACTACCGAATGTTGGCCTTTTGCTGAGAGAGCAGAATTCAGGCGCCCTCACCACACACACAGGCAAGACGGTAGCGGTGTGAGGATGCATCAGTTTGCTCAACTATAATCATTGCCTCACTGTGCATACCTTAAAGATATACAATTTTTATTAAAAAAAACCAAAATTTTAAGAAAGAATCGATCGTGAATTACGACATGGTGCTCGTAAATACAGACTTCCCAGCTTACTGGAAAATACGTCCTGAAACATTAGGTGTGCTTTTATGGTCGGGTTAATTTCGGCTTTATTTCCAACTTTCTCCAGTGAATGTGAATGAGAAACTCAGTCGGCTCTAACAAAGTGATTAGTCCTTTTCTTATGAAAAATATGAATTAAAATGAAAACGACAGCCTTAAAAAAAAAATCCAATGTCATTTTACACAGATACGGAAAAAACAGTCCTCAAAAGTGTGCTGAACTATGAAAGACCCTGAATAGCTAATGCAGTCTTGAGCAGGAACGAAGTGGGAGGCATCACGCTCCCTGTTTTCAAATTATATTGCAGAGCTATAGTAAACAAAACAGTAAGGTGCTGGCATGAAAACAGACACGCAGATCGATGGAACGGTACTGAGAGCCTAGAAAAAACCCACACATGTGTGGTCAACTGCGCTTCGACAGGGGAAAGGACGGTCTCTTCAACAAACGCCTTTGGAAAACTGGACAGGCACGTGCAAGAGAATTAAATCAGACCCTTATCTTACACCATGCACAAAAATCCACTCAAATGGATTAAAAACTTAAACATAAGAATGGAAGCTATTAAACTCCTAGAAGAAAACACAGGAGAAAAGCTCCTTGATGCTGGTCTTGGCGATGATTTGGGGTGTCGGGGTGGGGGCAGGGGGCAGGATTTGACACCAAAAGCACAAGCAACAAAAGCAAAGATAAACAGTGGGTCTGCGTCGGACCGAGAAGTGTCCGCACAGCAGAGAAAACAGTGAACAAACTGAGCAGACCATGTTCTCTTAATGGTCTGACCGTCTCCCGGACCTGCAGAGGATGCTCCTAGCACAAGAGGCTGGCATCTGACACGGTGCTGGTCTAGCTTTAGGGCTGTAGGAAGGTAGAGACGTTCTCAGAACACCTGGCGTCTGTGTGGATGTTGTTAGGGGCACGGTCTTGGAAGAGGCTAATTTTGTTCCAAGTCTCATCTCTACCCCTTAGGGGCTTATGGCTTTAGACATGTCCTCTAATCTTTCTAGGCCCCAGGATCATCCTGTATAAAACCAGGTGATACCTACCTCACTGGTTTGCTTATGAGAATTAGATGAGATATCATATAAAAGTGGCCACAAGCAGGGCTGGCTACTGACTGAGCCTCACAAAATTAAAATGTGAGGCTCCTTGTTTAAAGAGCAGGGGAAGAAAGTGTTCTTAAGAGGCAATAAGATACAAAGTGTTTTTCTGTCAAACTATTTTATTATTTATAAAATGTAATAGAGATCATAGTTATGTGGGAATAACATAAGCGTACAAATCACGAAAAAAATTGTTGGTGTCATCATTTTAATAGAATAAATGACAATACTTTATTAATGGGCTAATTTGATTGATTATAAAATTTTTCTACCCACTTTTCTGTAAATTTGTTTATTCAGGCATCAATAATTTATACTTCGAGCAGCTTTCTCGATTTATTTTTTTCAATGTGAGAAGAATCGGCCGATGCCACTGTTACCGAAGCAATTAAGAGTGTTTTATAAGCGGTGACAACATTGGAATGAATTATTTTGAAACTATAAATGTTGGTCCATCTAGACTTTGAATTTAATTGGACGTGTAAACTTGCGCAGTGGA